GAAGGTATATTACCCTACATTGTGATGGCCTACCGTAGGCTTTGAAGGTATATTACCCTACATTGTGATGGCCTACCGTAGGCTTTGAAGGTATATTACCCTACATTGTGATGGCCTACCGTAGGCTTCAGCTGTCCAGTCACAAGTTGAAATGACCTTAAACTAAAACAAGCTTCTTCTGAATTTAGCTCCAGATCAGTCAAATTATGTGAATCTATGCAAATTAGCCCTTGTGCGACAAACAGCAGAAAAATGAATGATGGCGAAATATGTATTTCTTTCATTACAGCTTGTTAGCGGGAAGGGGGTGAGGGTTGTGGGGGGGGGTACAGACTCTTGGTCTGTCGATCAGCTGGCATTGTGTGCTGGGATTACATAGGATACTCGTGTTTGAGTTGGGGGGGCAGCGCAAGTCTTTTGAGAAGCCGAGAGCTTCTTTTGGTTGTAGCCGCAGGATGAGGATTTAACTTCACGTCCAGTGGCCCAGCATTCAGGCGTTTATGAATAAAGACGGTGAGTAAAGGGGGTATGTAGTAACAAGTGAGGAAGGAAAAAAAACACGACCTCCTTTGCCATCATTCTAACGCGACGTTCATTATTTACCTTAAGCAGGGTGGGAGACACATGGGGGGCCCCTGTTAGAGCAGACCCCCCCCCCGACGCGTCCCCTGCCGAACGGCCGGTCAGGTGACACACTTAGAAGCGGGAGGGTGTGTCACGAAGGAGAGAGGACGGAGCAGAGCGAGGGGTCGGCAGGGCATGCAGAAACATCCGCAGCCTTCGGGGGACGGACAGGAACAGGGGCTGCCGCGGGATCGCTCAGAACGGTGTGCGCCAGAAAGTGGAGCGCCGGAAATTTCCCAGCGAGGGGGCCAGCTGGGGAGGTGACGCAAGGGTTCCGTGAAGTGGTTTGAGGCCCCTTGGAACGTAGCCGTGGAAACGATACTGCAGGAAGGTGCCGGTCGTGTCACGGAGCTGACCGCTCTCATTCTGGGACGATTCCGGTATCAGAACCCAGTGTGAAATATGCCTGATTCGGAGAATAGAGTGGCGCAGTGTGTACTGTTCTGACCTTACACCCCCAGGGCTGCGGGTTCGATTCCTGGCTCTGTGGGCATAGATTTCTGCACCTCCCTCTTGTGCCTGCAGTGGTTTCCATCTTTAATCTCAAAACATGCCGCAGGGTGAATTGGTGACTGTAAGTTGCCCATCGATTTTGCTGTAGAATGGCCCAGCATCCCATGGAGGGTCACCCTGTGCCCCTGTGTTCAGGCACCCAGGCTTCCTGATTATGGTGACCCCTGCACCGGATTGGAAGTTATGGAAGATGGGTGCATATATATATATATATATATATATATATATGGATTGTTTTTATAAATGTTGATAGTTCCCCCTCCCCTTTCATTTTTACATCTGAAGCTTCATGTAGGTCTGTTCGCCTTCCAGCGAAAGATACACAAATGGAACATGGTTTGTATTATTGTGTTTTGTTTTCAATAAACACAGACAAGTTATGCAAATGTGCCGAGATTAATATGCAAATATACCAAAGTCACATTTGTAATTCGGAGTTAAATAGGGGGTGAGAAAAAAAAGAATAGACGAAACTGCCTATTTAATATTCATGAACCTGCTATTTGTCTGTCTTGACATGAAATAGACTGCCATGCTGTATTCAGACTGACCCTCTGTCTGTTGGGATGTTTGAAAAGAAAACAAGCCTTGATATTTAAAAAATTCATATTCTGTGGGATGGCTCAGCTTGTGTTCGGTGCTGCAATGACGAAAAGATGGAGCTAGCTGTCATTCTTTTTTCCTTTCGTTCTGACGGCTCGGGAAACAAATAGGGGTGTGGGGCGGGGGGGTGGCGTGAGGATCAAGTTTTCCCCTGATGGGGACCGGACGTACACGGAACACCACCCTGACACGCGGGCGAAAGACCTTCCGCGATCTCGCCGCCTGCTAATTTTCCGATCTCACCGCAAGATGTTTGCTTATTTATTTATTTTTTTGCTCCCATTTCCTTTCGTTTCAGAAGGCAGGCGGGGGCGGAAGAACAATGACCGACCGCCAACAAACCTGAAGCCGCGGTTTATTCATCGACAGCGCGTTCGGAGTCCGCCTCAAGGACCTGCTACCCGCTGCCGTAGGTGATCGCCCCCTACTGGCGGGCTGCTGGGGAGCCTTACTGGGAAGTTGGCATGCAGGCGTGGCTGCAGGGATCTCCCCTCAACACCGGCTGGATTCTATAAAATTTGCGTGCTCCGCTCGTGTCTGTCCGCTTGACTGGCGACCCCCCCTCCCCCTCCCCCAACGACACGCCCACTGAGCCACCGGACAGGAAACGCGGGAAGGCGGCTGCCATGTGCGCAGCCGTGCTGCTGGCCCTGCAGGCCGTGTGGGCGGGCGTGGGTCACGCCATGCAGCACTACCCGTCAGCATGGGGGCACTACGACGTGTGCAAGTCGCAGGTCTACACGGAAGACGGCCTGAGCTGGGATTACATGGCGTGCCAGCCGGAAGCCACCGACATGACCAAGTACGTCAAGGTGGCCGTGGACCCGCCCAACATCACGTGCGGCGACCCGCCAGAGACGTACTGCGCGCTGGTGAGTTTCAGCACTTCGGCGCCCCCTTCTGGTCGCACGCCGTCGGGTTCCATCCAACCCTGAGCCGCGTCTGTTCAGCTGTAGCACACACACACACACACACACACACAAACACACTGAGTCACCTCCACTGACACATGCCAAGTGCCTGTTTGACTCCCGCTGTCCGTAAAACCGTACGACTCGCCCATGCTTTTTTATTTGTTAAGTATACAAACATTTTACCTCCCGCTGGACTCATTTTCTGTGTTGATATTCCATTCTGAATAGAATATTGTTTTTCTTTAAAGGCCTCTGCTTTTCCCCGGGAAAAAAAAATGTAAAAGTGTGGTGCTGATTAATTCTGAGTCCTTATTAAGTATAGATTTTCCTGGAAGGGCACGTACAGATCCATCAGCGCCACCTCCTAGGGTCCCACATTTGTGGTAATTTGCAGTCAACATCCCATAATAAGCATGCAATGCTGTTATGTGGTGTTTTTCAAAGAGCTTTGATGTCGAGCGTGCACTACGGCGAGAAGTCACCATTGTATAGAGACCTTGTAAATAAAATATCATTATTATTAATAATAATAATAATAATAATAATGATCACCTGTTTTCAAGTTACTAAGCAATAATGAAGATGAGTTTTTGTCTCTTCCAGGGCTGTTCTGAGAAAGGTTCTCTCCCACTGAAGGTGCTTTCAAATGTTCAAGAAATCTTTTGGATGAGAGGTTTAAAAAGAAATAGTTTAAAATTTCAGCTGGTTAGAAGCTGTCAGGACAATATTCACTGAGATGAAACTATCGTCAGTGACAGGGTACCCAGTCGTCTGGGCTCTTTGGGGCTGAAAGGGATCCCGCTGAGTTTGTTAAGGATTGATATGCTTTACTCAATGGGTAATTTATTCTAATCTCAAAAGCACTTTGAAAATGCCATCGCTGTCTGATAAAATCCTCCGGCTGAGAAGGGGATAACGGGCGTTTCCGGAAGCAGACCTACTGAGTGAATCCTGGAGGGTGTTTCCATTCAGCAATCCAGGGGTGCCGGCCCCCATTTAGTAAGGGGGAAAACCGATTTCCGTCTCCGCCGAGTTGGGTACGAAATGACTGTTGTGTGTTTTACCACAGTCATCCTGACAGGACCAAATGCGGCTGCTTAGCGCATCTGCCATGGGCAACAGGCTGTTCTGCTTAATGCAGACTCTGATTGGCTGCCAGGGAGATAATATATGCAGGCTTTCTTGTAAACTGTAGCAAAAGCCTTTTTTATAGTCAGTGTTCCGAGCTTGTTATTATGCAGTAATTTGTATTTACATACTGTTTTACTGCTGAGGCTGTCAGTGCATGAACAAATTGAAATGTTATTTTGTTGTTGTGAATATGCCACTAGTGGAATCAGGAATGGCATTTAGTGCTGGGTCTCCTTCTCAGTCCCGTGATTGGTTTTCGGGCAACCAATGAGTGGCCTCCGTTGGGCAGTTTCTCACCAACAGATACTTTCAAACAAAAAACAAAAAAATGTATCTTTCATTTCTATCTACAGAATTTTGCACTTTTACCAAATTGTGGCGCACAAGATAAAATGGCTTGCATGAATTTGAACCAAAAAGCCATGTAATATTCCTTTAACTTCCCTTTTTTGTGGCATTTATTTATTATAATGTAAAGTTATTAGTGATGTATTCCTACAATAGGCCTGTTATTGTGCACATATTGTAACAGGTCAGCTTATCTAAAATTGAAAGGTTCAGTCACATAAATACAAGCCACCTTTGCTGCATTCACACTTGGTAGCTTTTGCTTGAGAATTAAATTAAAAATGCACAACCTCTGTTTGCAATCAACCTTTGGCAGGCAGTCCTCCCCCCCAGCGGCGTGATCCCCAGAAACGTTAACGCCAGCGCCGCGACCTCGGCGATATTAGATTCTCCCCCCAATTTGTCATCTGCCGCACTTGCCTGAGTAATTATAGGGCACGGAGTCGGAGGGACTGGCAATTACGGCCCACCGTGGGGCCTGGTATTTTAAGGAAGGTTCAACGGGCACGAGGTTCGCACATGGAGCTCGTGACTCTAAGCACGCTCTGGCAGAAGGAGCCCACTGCCATAGACTTTTCAAGAGTGGCCTGCTATTCAGCGGAAAAACTGCAATCTAGCATGAGTTGGCAAGTAGCACAAGGGTTCTGTTTTTCATGAAGGAGCCACCTATCAACAGAATCTGCTTATCGGGCTACTGAGAATTTGGTCTCTGGAAGTAGTGCCTGCCATCTAAAATAACCTGTTCCACTGAATGAATGAAAAGTATTGCTTTTCATAGATCCAGTTCAAACACGGCTGTTCAAATAGGTCTCGGATTTTTTCCCAGTTCCAGACCTCAGTCTGTCTGGCTATGATAAAGCGCGTTTACATTTTAAAACAAGCAAAAAACGGTTTATTTAGAACTGTCTGCGTTTACAGATAGTGACAATATTGTAATAGTGCTTAACCTGTGTTCTGGTTGGGGCCGTTGTTCTGCTGGCACTCAGTAAAATGACAGCGATTATGTGCAGGAGAACCGAAGAGTCCAACCCGACAAAAGCGCCCAAAAAAAGCCACCTGTGCCCTTACAACCATCTTCACTGGCAACCAATGACATGTAAGAAGACCTCTTACCACACCTACGTTACTTATAACCACTGCAAACTCATGCTGATCTGTTGTGTTGCCACCAGAATGTTCAAGGCAGGTATCCTAGAGTGACTAATAGCAAAGAAGACTGGACGACTGATCACATGGTAGATTCCTACTTCTCTTGTTATATTGTATCTCCCGATCATCCATCACAAGAACTGCAGAAGATGGAGAAAATGCAGAAAGGTTGTGATGGTGCAGGAAATTCAGTAGGAATAATTCCTAAAAGGACAATATGGTTCCCAGAGTCCTACACCTCTTGGCCTGAGGTTCTCTGCACCCAGGTCAAACCTGTGAAGCAAAAGCAGAGGATATCTGCACGTGATGCATACTGTCTAACTTCCACTGACGAGCAGCTCAGAAACACAACGCTGTGCTCCATCTGACCCGTGCAGTACCTTGGCAACTTTGAATCAATACCGATGCTATCAGAACTGGAGATCAAACACAGACAGTTCCCTGGACTTCCTGTGAACAATGGCATTCGCACACGGAGTGTTTTTATTGACAGCTTAGACGAGAATGAGATCTAATCTCCCAGGTATGTGGAGATAAGGTGTTCATAGCAAAGCCTGTGCTCTGTCCGGTCATTCAAATTATTATGTTAATTTTTATTATTAATAATTAAATATACTAAATAATACACTGCCATTTGATTATTCAAAATTAATGTTTCCATGACAGGAATGAATCTGAGGTAAATTTACTTTTATCAAGATAATAAATCTGTCTTTAATATGAGACAAGTTTTCAGAATTTCGCATAAAGTGGTTTAGAAATTATTCATATTTTTTAATTATAACGGCCCATGCCAGGGTCTGTCCTGCCCTGTGCTGCCTGGGGTCGAGGGATGCTTGTAATGTAGGGCCGGATAAGTGGCAGGAAGATGGATGGATGGATGGACAGACATTATTGGACAAATAAAATTATTAGTTAACATGAAGGAGAGATGAAGAGATGTCTGAGTGGTTTTTGTCAGGGAGTCCATGGGCACCTTCCCAATTATCATGCATAGAAGTACAATTCATCCATGCACTCATTGATTGGTTGTGATTTAATAATATTTCTGGCCATTATAGTCAGACTTGAAAAGAGAGAAGTCCAACGCAACCGCAGCCCCGTGCACATGAATAATTCTGTGTGTTCATGGTCACTCGGTAACTTTTTAAAAAAGTACAGTTGGAAAACTGTGCACGTAGTATAGTGTGGAGTCGACTGGGGAGTTTGTGGGCTCGGGAGCTTAAAGACAATCCCTGTTTTAGCTTCTGTAAGCTGCTGTGTCATTCATGTCTGCTTCCCCAACCAAGAAAGGTGGTGGGATAGAAAGTCTGAGACAAAGATGTGTATTCATACCCATTGGGGATCACCAAAGCAAAGTGTCTTCCAATACCTTGTGTTTCAGTCAACACAGATGAATACTCCGAGATTATGCAACCGTCCTCTCATCTTTCTCTCCTCCCAGTTTTCTGTCTTTGCTTCCTCTTTTTCCAGATAGAATAGAGAGAACACTACCAAAAAAAAGCAAAACGTCCATTCAAAAACCACAGCACCTCCATTTATTAACTTAAAAATCCGCCATGTTTTTTTCATAACCCTCCATGGACCATGCGGCTCAGTTCTCCCGCTCCCATAAAGGTGTAGATGCGATGTCCTGGAAACACAAAAACAGCCCAGAATAAAATGAGTAGAACAGGTTTTCTGCAACCGGGAATTAACCTTCTCATTATTTTTAGCTGTAGCATTAAGAGAGGAAGTCCGAAAGCATGTAGACCGGCACCCAAAAACAACATTTTGTTTTAGCCTTAAATAATGTTAAGATTATACACTCGTTGCATAATATGCATTTTTTTGGTTCATTTTCTTTTTAGAGCACGTTAATTAAGAAGGTGGAGCAGGCAATAAAAATGGAGATAACCCCCCCCCCCCAGAACATGTCCTAGAACTACAGCAGAACTAAAAATTTGCCATAAATTTAATTTATTTATTGCAGCGATGTAGCCTTTTGGATTTTGTATGCATATGAAGCTGTTGTAGAGATACGTGCGTGCAATATCACTGCAATTTTAATAATATTTTAATTAGTGATCGCTGGAGTTACCTCGCATTCCCCATTTAATGGGCAGCTCTTTTTTTCCCTTAAGCCTTCTGTGTAATTAACTCGATGACAAATTAGCGTGACTCGCGTCGCATTTCGCTCATTAGGACGTTCCACTCCTGGAGTCTGTTTTCGGCCGTCAGCAAGGCCCAAGCATTGTTTGGGACGGAGTACAGAACAGAAACGCCACTGATTCTCAGGAGACACCGGTGTGGAACCATACCCCCCCCCAACATAAGAGTGTTATAATCAT